TCTTTAATTTGTACCGAGGTTTTAATCACTTACTGAGGGTTTAAATAACATAGTTGAGAGCTTAAATCACTCGTTGAAGATTACATGCCCTTCTCTGAGGGTTATTCACCCCTGTTGGAAGCCAACTATACCAAAATAAGAAAGTAATAAAATAACAATAGAATAATGATACTAACTAAAAAAGAAAAATTAAGCGTAACACCGGCGGCATTAGTCGGACTAACAGTTTAGATACAGTCGGGCACAGTATCAAAATAGGGGTCGTTGCGGATACATAAAATCGTTCATAGTTTACTTCTATATCATGAGTTTTACGGAAATTTGATTATTACAAATATATTTACTATCAAGAATTAGCATCAACATGGCATAGCTTACATAGTAAAAATTTGTGTGATGTTGCTTTAACTATACCATTACAAAATATTTTTATTAAAGCTTAAATAGAGTTTATTTTAGGTGAAAAAAATTATCATTAATAAATGTTGCAGCTGATGTTGAATCGGCTGATGCTGAATTCGGACCTATTTTGATATAAAAATTTAAAATTTTTTTGGATGTTTTTGTCTGCTTTTTTTTTTAAAGTTAGGTTAGGATGTAGGCTATAATTGATAATTAAAGAATATATGTGAATTTTAGCAGGGTTTTATATTTTAAAATGAAGACACCAAATTTCAGCATCAGCTGCGACAATAAATATAATTGATTTTTTACATAAGCTTAGGTGTAATGATTCCTGACGAAACTATTTTCTTGATAACGAAACATTTCGTCAAATGCGACGTCTGACGAAACTTTGACGAATGACGAAACCCTTGACGAATGACGAAACCACTGACGAATGATAAATAATAAAAAAATTTCCCTTTTCTGCAACTAAATATGGATAGCTGCACAAAATTGTTGCACAGAACCTAAACCGACAGAGAACAATGCGCATTAGATTGATTTAAAGTAATTGTAATTTGACAAAAAATTTGTAGGAAAAACAGGGTCATGTGTAGAGATGTACCTCGCGCAAGATAAACCTAGCATATATTTCACATAACGCACGCGCGACTTTGTCGCGCGAGTTCACGAGCCTTATGTGATAAAATTCATTTTAGAATATATGCTAAAAATTTCATTAAAAATTTCTTAATCGAATAGTTTACCTCGCGAAAATCGCGCGAGATCGCGGGTGCGATAGTTTTATCGCTTCTCGCGAGGTACATCTCTAGTCATGTGGATGCTAATTAATTAATAAAGGCTCTTGCAATCATAAACCGAATCAACATGAGTGATCTAATTTAAGAAGTGCTGTTTAATGGATAAGTATTCATAGGCTGAATTTTCGATTTAAGCATGCCGATTAATAAAAGATTCTTATACCCGCAGACTTAGGATGCCTCTCTTAGAGACCGTGCACAAATACTACAATCAGTTGAAGTAAACCTTACGGTAATTTTGTCGAATATTCATGTTGCTAAATGCAGATATTAAATTTTAGCCAATCAGCACAACTCTATGATAAAAAAAAGATGTCTATGTCCATCTTTTTTTCTTCATCGTGATAATGAACTCGCTTGACCGAATAATTTATTTTCCACTAATTAAAAATTGAACTCAGACCTATTGATTTAGATGCTTGAGAGCACCCTTAATAATCACGAGTGAACTAGAAATAGTTCTCTACAGTATACTTCACATTTATACGTATTTTAATACATATCAGCAGATTTGTTAAATTTGATGAATAGAAAACTTTTCAGTGTAACACCTTAAAATTTATATTTTTATACTTTTTAAATAAAGCCTTTATTTTTGTCGGTAAATCACTCGCATGTATATAATTTATTTGTGTTACCCTATCCATTTATGTCCGATTTTAGTAGATTTATTAATTTCTTTTGATTATTTCATAACTTATATTAAAAGACAATGATGGATTGACTTGGTGGCTTAATCATATGAACGTTACTTAAGAAAGAGCGCGATAAGAAGCATGCTAAAAAATTAGCATTAATACGTTCTCGTTCTTCCATAGAAAGATGGACGAGTGGTAATAAACAAATTGATATAGTGATTAAAGCTCAGGTGGTGGATGGAAATTGATAGAACAAAATCAACTAACAAACATAACATATCTTGCTGTTGGCGGGCTTTCGACCGTTTACATCGCGACATGGCATGATAATGATTGTATGGACAAAGAAGCAAAGACAGTCGCACTTAAAACTTTATCCAAATAGTTTAGTAATATATAATTATAACGATACCTCTTTCTGTATCTTCAAGATGGCCAATTTATCAAAGTTCCGCTTCGTGAATTACACACATGGAATAACTAAGCACTTAGATCCATATGCTATTGTAATGAACTACTTTTCCGATGGAGACCTGCGTAAATTTTTACAAAGAAATAAAAGCTTATCTTGGGCCGGTTTGAATTTCTTTACCGTTTATTAGCACAGCTTTCTTCATTACATGGTAGAGGAATTCATGGTGACTTGCATAGTGGAAATATTCTTATCAATGGTGCTAATATGCCATTTATATCAGATCTTGGACTGAGCTCAGTAATTATGCATAAAAATGCCACAGGGAATGAAGTATATGGATGCATTCCCTATATGGCACCAGAATTGTTTATAGGCAAGTATATGCCATGGGGATCATTATGTGGAAAATATCAGCTGGCGCGTTGCCTTTCTGTGACCGTAATCACAATGCTTTCTTAATATATGACATTTGCAAAGGATTGCGCCTACCTACTATTGAAGGAACTCCAGAGTATTAGATAGAAGTGATGGAGCGGTGTTGGGCCAAAGATCCTATGCTCCGTCCAGATTCATTTAACTTATATACTGAAAATGCTGATTTAAAAGGAAAATCTGATGTCAAAAAGAAGCTTGAGGAAGCTGATGAATTTCAAAAGGAACATCCAAGTTCTCAATGGAATAGAAGCCATTCTAATACCGAATACGTGAACTCATTTATTTCATGCATCACTGAGGATGAGATGTTAGACATTAATTCCACTATAGAAAATGTATGCATCAATCTTACTATTTTTCATAGAAGATATTTTCAAAATTCAAAAACTTACTAATTTTTTCATGTTTTATAAAATGATTTTACTGAAAAGAACTCTGCCAAACAAACCTAAGCTACTCCAACTTGAGATCAGTGCTATTGTTATGTAAGTCCTTAGGCTTCACAATTAATGTTTTTGATTTATATTTAACTCAAAACATGATCATGTAGGCGGTTTCGCCGCCCATAATGTAGATTTCTTGTAATACTTATTTAGAATTAAATTAATTTGATTTCAGATCCTTAAAAAACTTGAAATTGTAAGAGGATTTTGTATAATTAATTATATTTTTAATAATTATTTGGCAATATTTTGTTTTAGAAAATTTATTAGCTTACACGTAGTGTTTATCGTTATACACGGTTTGATTTATTGAATTACAAATTCGTGAAACATGCAGATTAAAACAATTTTTACAAACGAAAAATTAAACCCTTATTTAAGGGTTGGGGCGAGGCATAGTTTGTACTAAAATTTCTTAAAGATTTTTTTTTGTTCGAAGTCGAAAAGTGATTTTCAATAAAAATTTTGAGATATCAGTTGGTTTCTATATTGCCCGTGTACATACACCCCATGTACAAATAGAAATTCTCTTTAATATAATGATTCGAATATATTTTTCAAACTTAGAATTAGATTATATTTTTTAAAATAATTTTTTAACACTTTTACTAAAACGCACCTAAGGTGTTTTACCACCTATGTTGTATTATCTCAAAAACTGGCTAATTAATCGATGTAGGTGTTCTAAGTAAAAATGTTCTACGCCCTCAAAAACCCTTCCCAAACCCTAATCCTAACCTTAATATTAACTTTAAC